GTGTCTGAGTGCTTTGGTTTGGGGGGATGTAAGTGTGTGTTTGTGTGTGTGTTTGTGTGTGTGTGTTTGTGTGTATGTGTGTGTGTGTGTGCGTGTGTGTGTGTGTGATGTGTGTGTGTGTGATATACGTATATTAGGCGTGTATGTGTGTATGTGTCATGGAAACAGAGTAATTTTTGTACAATATCGTTGCAGTGCATGCAAGTGTGTTTCAAACACTAATTCCTTTTGGCATTTCTCTTTGGCTGAGCTGAGCAGCCTAACGCCTTTCGGCTTAGAAGAATTTCTATGTGGAAACTGGAAACGGAAGCCACCAGTCCACTTGAAAGCAAACAGCGAGGAACTTTTAGAAAGCTTTTAAGACCTGTGGTGCGAAATTTTTCTCAATGGCTTCCTGGGCTCCTTTCCGCAGTTCCTTGTTGCAGTACATAGTTACAATAGTTATATCGATAACTTTCTATTATCAAAGATCGTTCATAAGAAGATAGCTCTAGTTCACTAAGCCAAAAAAGTGTCCGCGGAAGTCCGCGCATTGGTTCAGATGGTGCTGCAGTCTTTGTTTTGAAGCTCTCTTTCGTTTCTCCGGAGGAAGAATAGGAACAGCACAGTTAATCAGTTTATTGTTTTTCACACAAGTAGGGTAACTCTACTCGCAAAGTCTGAGCTTTTTCGAAGAGGGCGCCACCGGATTTTGGGTGTCAACATGGACACGTGACTCAGCCTTGTTGTAATTGGCTGCCAACCACCCGATCGCGCGATTCGCAGACCTGAAAACAAACGTTTTGTAGGTCACCCACCGAGTCGATCGGTTTGTGCCACGATGGCCGCTTTGAGCCCTCATTTTGGCTAACCGCGACTACCAGATTGACCTGACCCGACCTGACCCGACCCGATCGCGTATGTGGGCACCCCCTATAAGAAGTGAGTTCAGTTTCCGAGTGGACAAGTTCGTTATTAAGTATCTCTGCCTGTTTTCTGTGGTGCTATGCCACACTGTGCTCAATGGATGACCCCAACCTGCAGGGTCGAAGCAACCCGCCTCTTAAATGCTTTAATTGTGTCGATGGTGGAATAAAAGACTTACAATGGAAGGGAACCTGGAGAAGAATTACAGAAAGTGATGTACAAAAAAGTGGGAAGACATGGAATAACATCTAGAGGCTAGCCCAGGATGGAGAAAGGTGGAAAGTGTTTGTCATAACCTGGTGCAGGGTGAGAAAGGGAATTATGATGATGAATGGAAGGGACCTTCTTTAAAACAAGTACGCCCCCTTGCAGCTGTATATTATAATAATATGATGCGGATGACCGCGATTCGAATTCCCACTTAAATGCTAAGAATTACGTTGAGCTTGTGTTATTCTGGAGAGTTTTCAAGGTTTTCCTCCGATTTGGTTCGGCAGTTAGCTTATATCGGAGAAGGACGCCTCGAAACTATAATGATATTTGTTGCAGCGACTCAATTTGATTGAATTGTTTCGGAACTTTACAGGGTTTATCATCCTTAGTGTAGTGGGAGGGGTCGTCAAATTGTGTTTTAGTAGCGGACTAGATCTAGATAAATGAGAGAATGCCAGGCCCAGGCCTGATAACTATTTTGTTCAATGCAATACACTAAGTACAAAAACGTTTTTAAAAAAATAGAAGTCAGGCTATCAACTTATCAATACTCAAAAATACAAAAAGTTTACCAAAAAAGACAAGTTTTATTTGCGCTGGGCTCAACAGTTTAATAGAATTTTACTTAACATTTGAGTGACCAAACCCTGAGCATGATACATACACATAACAATAATAATAATAATAATAATGGATTGCATTTATATAGCGCATATCCCCTTATGCAATGCTCTTTGCGCTTAACATGAAACATATGATGGATTTACAAATCAATTTTAAAGGCACATAGAATTACATACGCGTGCACACACATCTTCCAGGTTTTTACTTTCTTCCCCGCATGGTGGCACTGCGGTAGGCCAGATAGACTGACCACGGCCAGCCAGAACTGGTCTCGTAGTCTAATGACCCCTTGTCTTAGGACAGGACAATATCTTGCCTTGGTCCGCTTTCTGTGTAGACACTTGTTATTGCGTGCTCCCACACACGAAAACCGAGGAATTGTTGTACAATTTCATTATAATTTTGTAAAATCTGGGGCTTTTACGTCTTTCATTAGCTCCTACCCGCCCCCCTTATTTTTTTTTTACAAGCAAACAATACAAAATACCCAATCAATCAACCACATAAACACTGCGGATTTACTCACAGGCACACACGCACGGGTGCGTGTATACACACACACACACACACACACACACACACACACAC